CAAATTAACAGCCTTGGCCAGAGGTAGAACTCTCGGTTTTGTAGTCAATTCCCCTCAGAAAGGGAGAAACCAAGAAAATGACCTTCTCATACAGACAGTTTACAAAAAATGAACAGCTCTCCAGACTTTGAGTACGACCTTCACAAAACTTCCTTTGCCTTTTAGAAACGATGCCCTGGATCAAAAATGTCTGTCTTTTTATTCTTAAATTAATTAAGCACTTTCTTTGCAGAGAGAAAGTTAAAAAATAAACATGTGTGAAGTCGCTGTCACTGTGGCTTGCTTGGTTAGCACTGTAATCCATGCTCATGTGTCCCAGTCAGGGTTGAAAGTTTGGCAAAGAAAACCAGAGGATGCCTCGTTAAATTTGGATTTCCAATAAATTATGGTGTGTATCTGAAATTCAGATTTAACTAGGAACCTGTATTTTATTTGGCAACCCCAGGCCGACTTGCTTGTCAAACCTCAGAATAAGGAGTGATTTAATACTTCCTAGTGTTCTTCAACACATGCCCAGGATAGACATATAGAACTTTCAAAATTACAAATGCAAAATGAATGAAAGTTTTGCCCATACACTGGAACTAGCAACCCTTGCATCTCTGCTCCCACTTCAAGAAACAATATGGCACATATGCATATCAGTAATTCTGTCAATAATTCAGACACAATCTGGTCACTACTCACTAATGATGGACAAACTCTCAATCTCTAGAATCAGAAAACCTGAATGGAAACATGATCTCTTCTCCTTCAGTCAATTTTTACCAACCAACCATAAGCCTTTTTGTAATCTATCAAATACATTTAATAATAGCATCATCCTCACAGGATTATTTTAAAGGTAAAATTAAATGACTCTTCTTAGCACTGACCACATAATAAACACTCAAATATATTTCCATTTTAATTTTTATGATCCCTTTAACAGCAGCTCACATTGTTTTTCCTATTCCTTGATTCTAAAGCAGTTAGTGTCTTCATCATGAATGTGCAATTGTCTTCTGTTCTTCTACTAGTCTCATAAAGAGTTGTCATTCTGAAAACATAGGGCAGAAACATTAGCTTATATCTAATAAAGCAGTATACCTAAACAAACCTCTCACAAAAGGCATCTGTTGACATGGGAGAAATGGACTTTCTACATGCTCAGATTTAAACTGCAATCTGATTTCTAGCACTACATTTGAGATACTGGGTTTTACTTATATCCTCTCAATTTTAGATTCCAGAGATGTATATGTTTTTAAACACCACAGATACAATAGGATCATTATTGAAATCGCATACTGAAATTCATAGGCCTGGTACACAGTCATTGCAAAATGTTATATGGCATATACTGATGGAGACCAGATTCATTTTATTCATCACTCCATTCTCATGACCTAGAGTAATAACTAGTATATTCTGAGTCACTAATACATATGGGCTGTGTGAAATATTGGCTGCGTGACATTTTGCATGAGCAGTCACCACTGCACACAGGGACTCTCTCGTATTTCCTTGCCAGTAATGACTGAGCATCTCTGGTTCACAGGTCCTCCTGCTTCTCTTCAGCCTCTTTAGCCTTTTCCTTTAGATTAAGCTGGCTCCCTGAACCCAGAGTGCAGTCCTTCCCTGAAGCTCGCTACTCAAAACAGTCAACCTTAACCTCGTCCTCACTTCTTCTACTCGCTCTTCAAATGGTACAATCCATTTTCCATCCTGGATACTCCATTGACTGCAAGTATCAACTCCAGCAAACCTACCACTTGCTTCTCTCTCACATTCTCACTTCACCCACTTAGTGATACTAATTGGCTTCTCCCTTCTTCTTGAAAAATATCTGTTTTCCTTGACTTACACACATTGTGTTCTCTTGGTTTTCCTCCAACATCCCTGGGGCTCCCTCTCAGTCCCCTTTGCTGGCCTGTGCCTTCTTTTTTCTACACACAAGTTATTATCCTGTGTATCCTCTTCCACTCCCTGGAATTTAACACATTCCACGTACTGATGTCATCAACATAAATACCTCCAGCCCTGGACTCACCGTGAGTCTCTTAAATTCCATTGACCTTCTGATTATTCCACATAAATGTCAATAAATCATTTCCAACCACCCACTTCAAATAATTTCCTCTCACAATTTTCCCTATCTCAATAAACACCACCATCATCCACTTATTTGTCAAGACAAAATTCTCAGGAATAAGGTTGATTGTTCTATTCCCTTAACAGTAATCCATTAACAAGCTGAGCAAAATACATGCTTCGTGTTTTTCACTGTCTTTATCACTAATGCACACCAGGAAACCATGAGCTTTTTTCCCTAAGGATTCCCTGCTGTGATGCTAAATAGGCTTCCTGATCACTTATGAATCCCAGCAATCCAATCCCCCACAGAGTAGCTAGAATTAGTTTTAAAAATTGAATATAAATGGACTCTCCTTGTAACCATCCAGTAGCTTCCCATATCTGTTTAAATAAAATTAAAATTTCTTACTATCAACATCAGGGTCTAATATGATGAGGCTTCTGACTTCCTCTCTGCATCCTACCTCATCTTGTGCCTCTCCATTTCCTTGCTTCTTATACGTCAGTCCCTTTAGCCTTCTTTCTGTCCCTGTGCACAATTTCCCACACCAGGGTTTTCCCCCCATTGCGTGTCTCTGGAACATTTGACCCTTAGATCTTCACATGGCTGTCTACTTATTTTGTTGTCTCAGCTGAATGTCACTTTCTCAGGTAGAGCTGCCTAAGCATATGAACTAAAGTTGGGGGAACCCAATTCTCTCTTTCCACAAACCTGATGTCTTTTCTTCTGTGCAAGATGATTCTCTAACATTTTCTTCTTTATTAAATGCTTATTGGGTTAGTGTCTATCTCCTCTATGATTGTGTAACTTTCATGAGTAGGGAGCAACCCACTCTATCTTACTCAAATAGAATGATTTGAACCTAAAAGGGAGCCCAGTACACTGTAGCTGCTGAGAAAAATAACTGTGGTTTGTATGAATAAACCAGCGTTCTGGGAACTGATCACTGTGTGGATCCTGGACAGCAAGGAGGGGCTCAAGCTCCAGCACTCTTTCAGTCTGAGGTCACACTAGACCCCTTCTCTACCCTGTGAGAAATACAGGCAAACTTCTTCTTTCTCCTCCTTCTAGTTGGAAGAATAATTCACAGATAAGGAAATAGTAATTCTTTTCTTTTTTTTTTTTTTCTTTTTGGGATGGAGTCTAACTCTGTCGCCAGGCTGGAGTGCAGTGGCATGATCTGGGCTCAAGTGATTCTCAGGTTCAAGCGATTCTCTTGCCTCAGCCTCCCAAATAGCTGGGATTATGGGCACGTGCCGTCACGCCCAGCTAATTTTTTTATTTTTAGTTAAGACAGATTTCACCATGTTGGCCAGGATGGTCTCGATCTCCTGGTCTCATGATCTGCCCACCTCTGCCTCCCAAAGTGCCGGGATTACAGGCATGAGCCACTGTGTTCGGCCAAGGAAACAGTAATTTTAAGAAAAAAGAATTTTTTTTTTTTTATTAAGATTCATCACTTTTCATCTAGGCACGGTGGCTCACATCTGTAATCCTAGCGTGTTGAGAGGCAGGAGGATCACTTGAGCCCAGGAGTTTAAGATCAGCCTGGGCAGTATGGCAAAACGCAGTCTCTACCAAAATTACAATAATTAGTTGGGTGTGGTTTCCTGACTATAGTCTCAGCTACTCTGGAGGCTGAGAGGGAGGATCACTTGAGCTTTGGCGGCAGAGGTTTCAGTGAGCCTCTATCACATCACTGCACCACAACCTGGGTGACAGAGCCAGGCCCTGTCTCAAAAAAAGAAGAAATTATCTCTTGTGATAAACCTCATAGTGCTCTGGGTCTGTGCAAGCTTTAAGGATTTCAGGAAATAATGACAACATAGCTGGGGAAAAATAGAGAGAAACTGGAGGAAGACGTACACAGACATGGCTAATTAAGAAAAGCCGAGGGCATGATGGGTGAACCTACAAAATTTAGGACAAGACCCAAGTAAGACAGTGCATTTCCAAGACTTGCTCATTGACTTTCACCCCTATGAGATGTGAACAATGTCCACATTATCTCAGTAACTCGACTCAGAGTAAATAGTTTGAACCTTAGCAAATTTCTGATATTTGACTATTTTTGACTTAGAAAATATAATTTCATACATTTTATCCTACATTCATTGTATCTCTTCTTGTGGTGTCTAGTTAGAGCATGTAGGAGAAGTTAGCATAGAAAGGTTAAAAGAAATGCATAATAAACACTAACCTGGGCCATGTGTTCAGAGGATGCCTTAAGTCCTTTAGGCACTGAAGAACACCCCATAGATATTCTTTGTCTGTACGGTGAGTACTAAAGATCTCAGCTTCAGTTCCAGGGATTTTTCCCCATAAGAAAGAAAGAGCACTAAGCATAATTTTTGTCAGAGAACCTACATACACTACAAGGATACAAGCTTTATAAAGATTGGACTTCAGACAGAAAAGAAAGGAGACAATGGGGAGGCCACTGGTATATCCTCACATATGAGGAAGAGGGGCCAACACCACAGGTCCTGTGGAGGACATAACACTGGATTGTCTAGGAGAGACCCTTTGAATTCCCTTGACTCCCACAAAATTTTCAGTAAAAACCTCATTTTGTCTGAAATAAGTCAACATAATAAAGGGAAGTGCTGTATTGGGAATTTATTTTAGCATCCTTATTTTTAAATCCTCTAAAGACCCTGAGGAAATGTGATGCGAAGGTTTTATTGGTGGAGATTTAAAGAGAAACGGCCTGTACAAAGGCCCCTTACACAGTCTCATGGAGAGGGCAAGTAGTCAAGCTCCTTTTGTGGAGGAAATAATTTGGGATCCATATGATAAAGACAGGAAATCCCTGTTGAAAACGTCACAAATTCTTAAGGGACATGGCCTGGGCACAGTGACAAATTTAGCTGCCTACTTTACCCACCTTATAGTAGCTCAGCAGCCACAAATGTGCACTTACGTTGGGTGCCCCCAGCCAAAGCCAGTGGGGATCTCAGCACCATCAGCGTCACTGTCAGAGCTGCCATGCAGGAGCCTCCAGGGAGCCTCAGACACACCATGCTGGAGAACAGGACAGGACCAGGGGCCAGGGTAGCAGGCAAGTCTCGCATTCATGGAGAACTATGACCTCCCTCTACTCACATCCCAAACATAGGGAATAAGTTACTAATTTCTTTGCTCCTGGCTTGGGTGATCTTGTGTTGGAGAACCAATCAGCATCTGAGTTCAATATCATCATCAGTTGTTGCTCAGAGATGCTGTATGAAGGTCCTCTTCTGAAACAATTTCCTTCTTTAAATGATTGTTTTAATTTAGTACTTGGAAGGTTTGACCCAGTTGCATGTAAAACACTTTAATTGGGTCTTTATTGTGAGCCAGCTCTGTGCTGGTCAGTGATGTGTTCACAGGTTGGAGCCTTGTAAGAGCATTCATTTCCCACTTGACAGCAGAAGTATTTGCAGCAGTGACTGTGTTTAGGAGTAAATGAGATGGAGGGAACATGGTTGAAAATCAGGACACCCTTCATCTGGTCCTTATTGCACCATATCTTAATGCTGTAGATTTGGGAAAATTACTTCATGTCTCACAGTTGATATGAAGGCACTGAGATCTTTCAGGTCTCTCAATACTGGAAAATGCTGTGATTCTGTGGATGCCTCAAGGAAAAACAGCCCTGGGTATCTGATGATATGACAGAATGACAGCTGTTGATTGGAGAATGTGATCTGTACCTATTTCTAGGTAGGGATGTCTTTAGTAAGTTAAAGGAAATGGAAAGTTTGTTAATAATTTAATTTGAGTAAAAAGGTTTTTTTCAAGTGTGTTTCCTGTTGCTGCCCCCAAGTTTAGTGGCACCTCCAGAACACACACAGGCAAGGGGCTTGCAGGGGCCACCTATGTGCAATGGCGGGTCTGAAGGTGCCTTTGTATGGTACTTACCCTAACAATGTGATAAAGTCAACTGTGCAATCCAAGTATTCAGGGGGCTGAGAGATCGATCAAGGACTCAAAGTCAGCTGTTGACAGAACAACTGTGTTTTAAAATAATTTTATGTGAAGAGTGTTCAATCCCTCATTCCTGGTTCCCTTTAGGATTTTCTCATTTGATTGAAGTTGTGGCCCTTTACTGTTATGCTTCTTTTGTTTTATCATAAGGGAAGATATAAGAAGACTGTGCTAACTAATATGTTACAGAATGTTTAGCAAAGAGAACCCTAGGGAAAAACTGTGAATTACATCAGTTGACGTAACCATATAATTTTAAACATATAATTCTACATTTAGACAATTATTATGCTTTTTATTTACATAAATGTGGCATTTAAGATTCAGAATGGACTTCAAAGTACAACTATACATTTAAAGCTCTGCAGTAATCCACACTGTACCACAGTTCTGATAGGCACCCATTCCTTACGTGCCTTAGTGTTTCCAGAAGCAGGATTCTCACCGTGCTGCAGTAAAAATGAGCATTTTACTTTGTACTCAGAATTGTACTAAAAGCTTTCTATACTTCATGTTTTTATTTAATTCTCACATCAGCTCAGTAAAATAAACACCCTTTTCATGCTTACAGGTGGAGAGACTAAAACGACGGAGATAAAACAACTTTTGCAAAGATACACTAGTAAATGATACACTGCAGATTGAACCAAATTATATACCCCTCAAGCTCAGCCACTAGATCACACTCCTTCAGAAAGAAGGAGAAAAGACAAAGAAAAAGAAAAAAGAAACAAATTGTGAAAAAAAGAAACAAATTGTGATGGTAGTAATCTAGGAAAGCCAGCTAAGGTTCACGTTAGTATTTTAGGATGAAAGAGTGGTGATGCTAGCAGTGGTGAGCTGTCTAGAGTGGCGGGCTGCAGAGGGAAGTTACAAGCGGTGGCAGCAGGAGCCACTGTGGGAGCAGTGGCCGTGGTGGGACCCTTGTGCTCCATGTCCCCTGTGCCTCACGTCACTGAGGCAGCAGACTGCACTGCCCCGACCCCTGAGCAGCCGGCGGGACCACCCCCAGGCCCAGAGCCTTCACCACTCCTGTGTTGCTGCTGTCACCCCAGAGTTGTGGGGAGGGTATGGAGCTGGGGCCACCCTTCAGTGGCCCGGGGTGGGACGTGGGAGTGGCCTCACTTTGAGGACCCGGCCAGCGGCAAGGCCACTGTCCCACCCTGCCGAGGGCGCCCAGTTCCTGCCCCTGAGGAAGAGGCTCTGCCCGAGGCCGCCCAGGGTTTTGTCCCTGCGGGTGGCCACCAAGCCTGTTGCTCCTGACAGCCAGGCCTGGGCTGTGATCTGTTTCCCAAGGTGCCTCCCCCGCCCTATCCAGGTGAGAGGAAACCAGGGGCACCCTGAATGCTGGGAGAATAACTTGCAGAGACATCATCCTTGCCCCACATGCCAGCCTGGGCACAGTGTGTGGAGCTGCCCACCCCAGGCTGCCAGAAGGTGTGACAGGGGCTACCTGCAGGCTCCACGGAATGGGTTGGAAGTCCCGCCCTCCGGGCCCTCCCGGCCCTCCCCGCAGGCAGCAGGATCCAGGCCTGTCTACACTCCATGCCCTCAAGGCTGAGAAGGTCCCCCTGTCCATGCAGGCTTGGGGGTGTCTGCTCCCACTTTCTGGCCTCTCCCTTGGCCTCACCCGGGTCCCAGGTGCCCACTCTGATCTCAGAGTGGAGTTGGGGCAAAGCCCCAGTGCTGTCACAGACTGGCTGGGTGTGTGCACGCTCAGGGCAGTGTTGACACACCAGCCTCTTGCCACCTCAGTCACAGGGAAGCCAAGGGAAGATGTAATATTCGCAGCAAGTGTCTAATAGGCAACCTGTTGATGGGTCATTATTTTTCACCGTGACATTTGTCTTTCAACACCCTTTACATGTAATGCAATTGTTAATATGTGAGCTCTCATGACTGCCATCTGCTTTTGGTTTTCTTTTTTGTTTCCTTTGGTTTTTTCTTCTCTGGTTTCTTTTCCTATTTTCCAATGTGTTCCTTAAGCAATTTTTAGAATTCCAATTTTAAATCAATCATTTTTTGGTGTATCTCATTGTATAGTTTTTGTGATTTATATATTAACATAAGTTATCAGAGTCTACTGGTGCTGACATTTTACCAATTTGACTAAAGTGTAGAAACTTTCCTTCCTTTATATCCCTTTCCACTTCTGCATGTGTAGTATATATTTTTTATTTTCTCTTCTTGCATCAAAAACCACATCTGTCAATGTCGTAATTTTTGCCTCAACCATCAAATTAATTTACAACTCTGAAGAAGTCTGTTGTATCTAACCATATTTCTGCTCATTTATTGTTTACATTTTTCCTGATTGTCCAAGATTTCTTCCATTATCATTTCTATTCCAGTTCAAGCACTTCCTTTAGCCTTTGTTTTAACATAAGTCTGCTAGCATGAAATTCTCTTCATTTTCCTTCCTCTAAGTGTATCATGGCCAGGTGCGGTGGCTCTTGCCTGTAATCGCAGCACTTTGGAAGGCCAAGGCAGGCGGATCCCATGAGCTCAGGGATTCAAGATCATCCTGAGCAACATGGCAAAACCCTGTCTCTGCCAAAAATACAAAGTATTAGCCAGGCATGGTGGTGTGTGTCTAATCCCAGCTACACAGGAGGCTGAGATGTGAGGATCACATGAGTCTGGGAGGCAGAGGCTGCAGTGAGCCGTGGTTGTGCCATTGCCCTCCAGCCTGAGTGACAGAGCAAGACTCCATCTTAAAAACCAAAAAAAAAAAAAAAAGAAAAGAAAAAGAAATAAAGAAAAAAAGAAAAAAAAAAAGAATGTCATGATAAAACATTTTATAATTATATTGTTACCAGATATACGTTCTAGGTTAACATTTCTTTCAGCCATTAAAATATCTTGTGCCACTTCTGTCTGGTCTGCATGATTTCTGATGAGCAATCCACTGTCATTTAATTTATTTTCTCCTGTGCATGAGATGTCATTTCTCTCTTGTTGCTTTCGAGATTATTTTTGGCATAAATTTCTTTGGATTTATCTTCATTTGGGTTTGTACAGATTCTTGAATTTTTACATTTAAGACTTTGTCCAAATTTGGAAAATAGTCAATCTTCCTTCAAACACTCTTTGGGCATCACTCATTTGTCATCTCCCTTTAAGACTCCAGTGACAGAAATTTCATACCTTTTGTTATAGTGCTACAGATTTATCAGCATGAAATAATACTAAATATTATGAACAACTTTACAAAAATAAATGTGCATGTAATAAATTACTAAAAATGTACAATGTACTGGCATATAATGAATAAATTATTCAAAATGTACAATGTACTGTGCATGTAATGAATAAATTATTCAAAAAGTACAATGTATTGAAGCTGACAAATAACATAAAATAGGAAGAGTTCCACATCTCATAGAGAAAGTAAGTCTGTTCTATAAAGCTTTCCCAAGACAAAACCCCAGGTTCATCCAGCTTCAGTAACTATTTTAACACATTTAAGGAACAACACTAACTTCATACAAACTTCATATTTGAAAAAAGGAAAAGCACTTGCAGTTACGTTTGATTAGATCTGTGTAAATGTTACCTCAAGAACTGAAGAGAACTCTGCAACAAATAGGAATTAAGAGACCAGTAACTCTTATGAGCCAAGTTCTTAAGAAAATATTAGCCAAGTGAATTCAGTGATATAAAAGATGGCTACTACCTCATGACCAAGTGGAGTTTATTCCTGAAGTGTGAGGTTGTGTGAACATTTGAGAATCCTTTAGTGTGATTCACTACACGAACTGAAGGAAGGAGATCACACATGCAACCACCTGGATAGAGTCGTGAAATGGGATTTGACAGAATGCAGCACTTGGCCTTAACTTTTAGAAAACCTGTTTTCAAATTTGTGTTAAAAAGATATTTCTTCAATCTGAGAAATGATAGCTACCCAACTGCACACATTAGTCTCAGCAGTGAAATATTTAAAACTGTCTCCTTCATATCTGGAGTACTAGAGAGTTAGGCAATGATAATGGCAAGAAAAATATATCAAAGATATAATAATTGCTCTGGTAAAATGGTCATTATTTACTCTTGACATAATCAGGTACTTAGAAAATAAAAACA